GGGTGAGGTGTCTGTGAGAGAGGTGGAAGGGGCCTTGGTGGATGGTGAGTGGAGCAGGTGATGTGCCAAAGCCAGAGCGTGAGGGGAGCGGGAGGTGGTAGAAGGGGCAGGTTCGAGGGAAGGGAGTTGTGAGCGCAAAGGGGGGCGTAGGGGTCGGGGGTGGTGGGTTCAGGAGGAGAGTTTGGGGAAGGGGCTCAGCAGCGTTGTAAGAGAGCTGTGGGGTAAAGCGCTGGGAAAGTAAACAAGGGGGAAAAGGAATGTAAGCGTATGCAGGCTTAAGGGAAAAGCAGAAAGTGGAGAATAGTGAGCAGGAGTGAAGATGGGGCTAGCAAGTGGGCATAGGGGGATGTGCCGACTGTCATGGGAAAGTTGTTAAACTAAACTTCCTTGTGCCTTAAATGCCTTCCTAAGCCAAGGCTTCACAAAACAGACCAAAAAAATCCAGTAAAACGTGGTGGTCGTAAGGCTGTTAATCCATTTACAGCCACTGCACAGTGCGCATGTAGAAGAGCTCAGTGTTTCTGGGCAATATCTGATTTTGGCATGTGTGCTGTTTGTGGTAATCTGCATGGGCTTAGAAAATCCAGGGTGTCTGGAGTGCTAGCAGTATGTAGGTACAATTTCACAGTCGGCCTTTGGAAAAACTGTTTGTTGAACTTAATTACTCCTGTGTAAAATGGGAATAATACTTCACGGGATAGCTGTTATTAAGAGATGGCTGAAAAATACCAAGAAATCCTGAGTTCAACATAAGAAAAGATACAATTATTGCAACTCATTAAGACCTCTTTAAGCTTTATCTCTAAGCTGCTTTCGATCCCGTTTCTTTTTTTCTCTGTTTCTCTAATGTTAAGATTTTGAAGAAGAGAGCTAGGTTTAATTTGGGTAGGATATCCTTCTGTCCCATAGTGTGTTCTAGGCCATTACTGCTCCCTTAGTAGAAATAATGCTCTAACTTTACCAGTGAAAAAGCTCTGTTATCAGTATCACAGGCTTGGTCTGGCTGACAAAGCAGTCATCTAGAGCCTCCTGAATCATAGTAAAGTAATTCAGAAGTGGAAGAAAAATCAACTGAAAGTAAGTAGACTACACTGTTTTAAACTGGAATGGTACTGCAGCAACTACTGCAGTCGAGTGTTTAAATCATGAATGGGCTACAGTGATATTAACAAACCTTTAAGGGTTCAGTCCTTGGTATTATTGCATTAAAAATAGTATGTAATTGTATTAGTCATCAGCAGTATATTTTAAGCAAGCTTAAATACCGGTGCTTGGTTTTTTGTTTTTTTTTTATTACTCTGCTTTGTGTTTGGTTTGACAAACTTATCTTGAGAGTGAATTTTCAAGTCCGTATCAGTATAGAAAGAGCAATTAACTAGTACACTGCATGACGTGACTAAGATTTGAATCTATTTCTTACAATAGGCCAAGTTTTTACTTGGAATAGATTGGTGCATTTGCTGTATTCGTGGCCCTGTTACGTTTCACTCTACTAAAGGATCTGGCCTAATGTTAAGAAAGTAACAAGAGGCCGTCATCCTAGGGAGGGCTTCGTGGCCTGAAGAGTGCTGAACTGCACAATTCGGGAGGCTGAGGAGGGTTTGCTGCTTTGCCACAGTGCATCATTTGAGCTCCCCATGATAAAAGTTCCCTGTGGCTTCCTCTCGTGCTTAACTGTATTGGCCGTGCTGTAAAAGTTTTTTGAGATCAGCTGACAAAAAGTGATGTCTAAGGGCAGCGTATTTGTATGTGAATAATTCTGTGGAAGTTAAAGGGTTTATCTAACTTGCCTCATTTTCTTTACTTTTGAACAGTGAAATTTAAAGACTAAATTTTCGTGCTGTATGTGAGGTACACCAAACTGAAGTCATCAAAGTCGCATCCATTTATTATAGCAGCGAATTTGACCCTTGCTTATTCAGAATAGCAGGATATAACTGTGGGGAAGCAATCTGTTACTCTAGTAAAGGTTGCCTAAAGTGTATAGGAAAGAAAAAAAATGGTTGTAGAATTAGCATAATAAGATTTAAAGATCTCTTACAATATTATTAACACTTCCCACTTGGAAATAAACCGTGTGCTTTAAGAGATCTGTTGATAGCAACATAGTTCAAACTAGCCTCTCTCTTTGAACAATCTTGTCCCATGGGTTACTCTAATTATCACTTACTGTGGCTTTCTGCCAAGATTTTTTTAGACATGGCAGACTCCACTGTATTTTTCCAGCGCTCTGGAATGGTATGGCGCAGCTAAAAGACAGAAAATATTCAAGTGTAAATGTGCCTTGTGTTACTTTAACATGTTTATAAGCGATATTCTTTATGGCGATTGGAATGTGATTATAGAGAGAGAGGTTTTTCATCTCCTTTTCCACACCTACTCCAATTATTTCGAGTTCCGAACTACTTTAGGAACCATTGCGTTGCCCTCTGTACTTCGTTAATGGCTCCTGATTAGGTTAGCTTTCAGCAGTTATCTGACAGGCTCATAGCAAGGCCACTTACAACCAGGAAATAATAATGATGATGCTGCCACTGAAGTGGCGGGGGGGGGGGGGCGTAAACTGTGGTCTTTTTCCTCTGTTAAACTGTCACTGCGCTCGGTTAGCACTGCACTTTTATAGTGTAATGCACCAAAATAAACCCCTCCATAGTCCCACCCAGGTATAAACAGAATGTATATCTAATTCAAATTCAACCAATCAAAGGGTATAAACAAAGTAGAAAGCCCTGCCTCTAGATTATTAATTACTCACACTGGTCAATCACATTTAACCTGTCTAATCAGGATGCAGGGTAATGCATCTGGCCCTTCCCATTTCTCTCTGAGCTGCTCCACTTTTGGCCAATCGGGAGCGGTGTCTCTTCCTCCGGCAGAACCAGTTTATAATTGGTATGTTGAGGACCCTTGGTTGAGCTGTGCTTTGTGCTGCCTGAGCACAGAGCCAGTTTAAGATTGTGCCTGAAAATGCACCAGCACTGAGCGTAGTCAGCACGTAAAATTAGTAATACTAATAAAAAAGATTGCTTGAGCATGAGCTTTCAGCATAGCTAGCTTCCCTGCCACCCAAGACAGTCTTAGGTTTTCTTGGCTGCTATGTCTTCACGATCAGTTATAAAAGTATGCTATTTTAAGTGCATAATATGTTGACATGACTTGCATTTTTATTTTTTTCGAACAATAATTGAGCCAAATTTGGCAAGTGTTTTTTTTGCCCGTGTTTAATGTTAGTAGAAAACAGTTTTAAAATGTTCCTCTTCTGCAGTAAATACTGAAGTTTTTTGTTTAAATATAACTTTCTTCTTTGTAAATAAATATTTAATTATATATATTAAATATTGTCTTTTGTAGCTTTAAAAAAAAAGAAGAATGTTTTCAAGACCAAACCCAAAGTGGTATACCTGGAAGAAACTGCAGGCCTATAACAAATAATAAGGCATATACGTATCGCAAGTAAAATTCACTACTTCATTCCTGTTTTAATTCCAGCTCTTTCCTCAGCCAAGATTTAGGATGGTAAAAATTAGCTGGAGGAATTTATTTTATGGAAGTATGATTTATGCCTACTTAAAAATATAGAAAAGAAAATTTAAGGGAGAAAAAAATCATTATTTAAAGATGTAAATCACCTTAGTTACAGTTACGTTGTGTTTCTTCAGAGAAGTCAGCCATTTTGCTATGTCAATATTATTTCTTTTGATTAGTAGTAATACTGTTGTGTGCTTGTATGTGTTGTCTGTCCAGATGACACAGTAATGAGTGTGTATTAAAAATAATTGAGAACACTTTATTGGCTTATTTATCTGTGTCACTTGATTGTTCCCGCTATAAAAAATGAGGCGATTATAACTTAGAAAAAAAGGTCTCCTCAGAAATGTCTGTGGATCTTAGTCGTTACAGTTTTTGAAGTTGTATTCTCCTCCTTCCTCTGGATGTATTTTTTTCCTATATCAATCTCTGTGTCTTTTAGGAGGAAGAGATTTTTGCAAAATGTGCATACTGCAGATGTACCTTTAAAAATACTTAGATGTTTTAAACTAAAAAAAGTAATGTGCTGGTCCTGGCATTTCTGAAGTCTTGATGCTTAGGATTTGAGGTCCTAATCTTTTGATGCTCTCAAGGAGCTACTCAAACAGCAAGAAAAGAATAATTATTATCAAGTTTTAACACCTTCTCCCCCACCCACCCCTTCCTCAACAGGGCCTAAAACTGCTGCTAACGTACTGAGAGGAAAAACTCAATGGTCTTGAAAGGGTTGGTCTTAGAAGGTGCATTTATTCTTACCAAATAATAAGGGAGTGGGGGAAGGAATACTTATTTGAGGCCCATTTCTGAGGAGCTGGTAACCTTCATCCCTCATTGGAGATGGAACTGCCGGGTCCTTCCTACAGAGACAAAGGTTTTGAAATGTTTGTAGTTGATAACATTTTGAGAATGTGTGTTGAAATCCTGCTAGCCATTGTCAAGCTTTCCTGCACCCCATCAGACGGGTTTGCTGTGATGGTGGTTAGAGGATGCAGGACGCTGCCAGGGACCCGCGGCCAGGGCCTGGTGCAGGCCATCTGCCCCTCGGTGGAACAAGCGTGATGAGAATGCGGTATTGAAAATGTTTGTAGTGCAGTGTCTGTCAGTCCTGGGCTGATTTGTGTTGCTAACGTATTTGAAGTGCTCTATAGTGCTGGCTGCATGCAGGAACTGAGAGGCTGCTAGTTTTAACATTTTCTCCATTTAATGAATGATACAGAAGCAGTTTTCTCTTTCAGTAAGCTCTTAAGTGGGCCAACAAGTTATAAAACGTTTTGAGTGCCAATTACACATGTTTATATTTTGGGAACTCGGTAGGTTTTAGTGTCCTCTGCAGTGTAGAGAATGATTTGTCTTGTCTTTCCTGAGCCATTTCCTGCTAATGTGGGATCTTGGGAACTGGAAGTAGGTTTGGTTTTTTGTTTTTTTTTTTCTCCTGCCTGTGACACATAATTCAGTCTGTGCAAGACTAGTGTACTTAGTGTACTTTTAAGCCTTCTGCATTTCCAGGTATAAACATACCTGGATGCAACTTAGTGGCCTGTGCTCCTTAGGAGACTGGAGGAGTACTGGGCCTTAAATGAAGTATAAGTTAAATGCATTTTTAAATTGTTCTAGTTTTGTTGCCTTAAGCTGCAACAATGTAGCCTAGTGAAGGTTCTGCTGCCTTTTTTTTTTTTTTTTAAATTCGGGGTTACTGAATTTGGGGACTTTTTTTTATTTTTCCCCCTCTTTAATCCCACCCGGAAAAGAAAGGCGCACGTCACTGCTCCTA